TGGAGATCGTGTAAACTGATACATACGTACGTACCTACATACATACATACATACATACATACATACAGGCAGACAGACTGACCGACAGGCAGAGAGACGGACAGACAAACAAACCGACAGACATGCAAACCTACAAACATGCATACATGCATGCATGCATACACAGTGTTCGACCAGGCCCCAAGGAAAACCAAACTGCTCGCGATTCGTTCTTTCCGTGAGCGTTTGCATCACATGCTGTGTGCTCTCTTTAAAAGTAGGGTGAACAATTTGAAGAAGAATAGTTCTGTTTCAATTAAACGAATCTTACAAACATAAAGGACACATGCTTTACTCATTTAACACAACAAAACAGGAACGAAATACGTTAGCTCGTCCAGCGATCTCTGAAGGAGATACGGCGGCTCTTCCCTTTTGAAGTGGATCCGATGGAAGACATGCCGATTCTGTCTGTAGCTTGCCTTCGTTGCCGCATGCATGACGACCAGTTCGGAAGATTCGGAAGACACAGGTGAACAGTGCAAGCAGACAGCACGGTGTGACACGGCTGGTGTTTCGGTGCGTCCTTTGCGGTGTGATTAAAGACTGCCTGCAAGCACTTGCAATTCCTGCCAGCCAAGGTCTATATGTGCTCCCTTAGAATCAGATGGTCATACTTCTTTTTGCGCCACACTCAGTGCGAGTGCTCCACCGCATTGAGCATGCCACAAGACCCCAACATGGGCATGCCAGGCAGGGGTAGCGAGATAGCAATGTGTTCGCAAAAATCACGAGGCTGTGAATTGATGCTTGTTTTTCATGCTCCCCGGTGGGACCCTGAACACTGGATTCAAAGGATGTGTTTGCTGAGTCAAGGGTATCATCCATTCCTTTTTGATCTGTGGCTGCCTTCTAAAGCGCGGAGGTCCAGGCATCTGAGAATGGAGGGTTGCATGCATGTCTTAAGCAAGGACAAGACACCGCTTCCCAAAAGAAGAAGTACTCGTGTTGCAGTTTTGGTGACAAAGTAGGTAGGATTCGCGCATATCGTAGTGCTGCTAGTGCCGAGAGATGCAAGCAGGGAGCCGCGTGTTTCATTCCGGACTCGGTAAAGTGAGAGTTGCAAGCGACAGCGAGCATGTGCCGACGGCCAGAACTGGAGGTGAAGGCTGTCGCTGAATCTGGCGGCATAAAGGACGCATGTTATGCAGTCTCCGCTTGTCGCATAACACCTCACATGTGTCTCTTTGTGCTTCGATTGCCGGTTCCCCTTGTCTTGGCAGAGAGAGAGAGAGAGAGAGAGAGAGAGTGAAACTCGATCGGAAGAATGCTTAGCACATAGGTGTGCGCTCTTCACCGCCCTGGCCCTCTTTGCCGGGACGATCACAGAGCTGTTTTTTGCAGTGTCCGGTGCTTGCGGACTCATGCTTTACATGTGTCCGTCTGCAGATGCAATGAGGTTTGCTGCTGGAGCAGACATCAGTGTCTGCCAGCAGGTGGCTTGGCTTCATACGATTGACACCACTTGTCCCGTCAGGACCATGTGCTTGTATTCCGTCGTCTGTTACACGCGCGCTGACATAGTCAGGTGTGGCTAAGCTTTTGGCTGCTGCCCTTTGGAGCGATGTTCCTCGCACTGGTCGGGGACGAGATGGGGGACCTGGCCGTAATCTCGGGGGCCTTCGCTGGGGCCGCGGGAGCCCCCTCAGCGTGCTCGTGAGGTCATCGACGCCATCGACCGGCCTCCACTCCTCTGGTGCCCGCACCCCAACAGTCGAAGGGAGTGGGACTGAGGAGGAGTAGTGGCGAGTTCGCCGCGTTGTTGCTATGTTTTTTTTTCTGCGTTGGGAGGTGCCTCTCCCTGGTCCTGGCGGCGGTCCAAAGAGACCGGCGCCTCGCTCCGGCGCGGTCCACCTGCGAGGCGGTCAGGGCCCTGGCGCTGGGCTCCCCAGCTCCTCGAGAGTGACGAGACAACCTCGGTTTTTGGGCGCATTTCCCGAGGTGGACATGCTCATCATCGGCCTTTCCGAGGCCGCCAGGGCTCGTGCTGAAGCCGCGTGCCGCCACGAACGGCTCTCGTGGCCAGGTTGTGCCGCTGTGCTTCGGCTTCCGTTCCCTCGTGCAGCGCCGAGGTTTCTGGCACGGCTACATGCAAGGCCCACGTGGGAAGTACATCTTTCACATTGGCTGCAGAGCGAGCGTGCAACACGTATCACAGCTCGGCCAGGTGGGCTCATCGCAGCTTTTTTGCTGACACTCGTCGTCCTTTTGGCCGACGTTACCATCGGCATCTACGGCTCGCGGGCACAGCAAGTGCCTGGATCGGACATGGCTTTCATGACGGGCTGTACACATAAGTTGGTCCTGCCGTAGTGTGTCGTTTGGCAGAATGAATCTCAGCTTGTCCCAGGCACTGCGGCATGTTTATCACGTGCTGGACAAGCACAAAATCTGTCCGGGAACAATTGCAGTCCGATATGTGTGTTGGCTGCAGAAGCTGCCCGTGCCGGCCTGGCCACGGGGGTGTGGCACAGCCTAGGAGCTCCTGCGCTCCCACTTCGAGCAGGCCTCCCTGCAGCAGAACCGCGAGCAAGGCTGCAAGCGCAGCGCTCTCAGCGGGACGGAAGGCCGCTCCCTCGAAGATGGAAGGGAAGACTCCGCACACCTTTTTTTGAGGCTTTGCCACTTTGCTCGTCTTTGCCTGGCGGCGTGCAAGCCGCTTCATGTGCCTTGATGGAAGCTAGAGCATGGCCTTTGTCACTGGTTTATCATCCGGACAGACGCTCGCAACGAGGCTGGAGAGTTGGTCGCTCTGCGCGTTCACACAGCAGAACGCATTGATGCCGGTGACGCTGGTGGCATGGACTGCAGTGTCAGCCCTGGCCGTGCAGGCCAGCCAGCGCTCAAGGTGGTAGCTCGAGATTGTCCTGAGTCTCTATTCGATCTCGGTATATTGGTTCTTACGCATGTGTACGTGTCTGTCCGTATGTGTAACCTCTAACTCTGGCTCTCGCATCATCCGCTGACATGTCGCGCAAAGCAGTAGTTCTTGTCTTGGAAAGCAGAAGATTGCGAGTGGTAGCTTGCGCCTCAGGCCCGTTGACTATCCGTCTAGTCTACATACATATGCGCATCCACATCTGCACACATGCACTGCAAACGCATAGGCTTTCGACGTTTCACAGCTTTCCAGGATCGATTTCAGTTCCCAGTTGCCGTCAGCGCGATCATGATGGTTTTCACCGCCCCCTGGCTAGGATGGGCGGGGTGGACTGGTAGCTGTGCCTGTTCAAGGTCCTTCGTCGAGGCTTTTGTCGCAGTTAACAGGCTCACGGTTGTGCCTGCGGGGATCATGTGATGAAATCCGGGCTGTCCGGATTGATGTGTTGAGAGTTTGTGGGAGGTGGAGAGGTCCAGTGAAGTAGCTTGGACTTGGGAGAGACCGTTGAGCAGGCCGGTGTGCCGAGGTCACTGTGCTTTCGGTGAAGATGGCCATGGCATTTCCCGATGTGGCAGGCGGGATAGGGATAGACAAAATGTGTTTTCAGACTGAAGATCTCTTCGTAGCCCACATAGCCACTGTAAGGTCCTTTCTACACGGTGATCCTCATCTTCTTCGTTTGTGCAGCACTGGGCCTGCAGGTACAGAACAGCTCTTCAGAGCTTTTCCCTTTCTTGGCTTGGCGAGCTGGGAAGGTTGGAGGCTCCTTCGCACTCGGTCCGAAGACGGTGCAGCCGCTGATGCGCATGCCAGGCCAGGTCCGTGACGCCCAGCTTCTTCAAAGCAAAGCGGGAGGGGCAATAGACATATGCTGACACATGACCTAAGCCGAAGGCAGATCTAAAATGGATTCCAGATGCAAACCAGCCCTGATTCCTTCTTAAGGCATTTTCACCGGCCCGACGGACCTTCCACACGCTTGGCGTGGGCACCATGGCAGAATGCGACACTCAGCCCGAGGCCCCGTACCCTGAAGGCCCTGAATCCCAAGCCGATCCCAGGAAGCCTGGGAGGGAGTTGGCCTGAAATGGCCTGGGCGAACTGGGTCATGCACGACTCAGGAATCGATCAGAGCCCCCGTATGCGGCATGCCGCATTACCTGGGGGTCTCAAGAAGCTCCCGTCTCCGTGCTGGACTTTGGGCAGACTTGCAATAGAAAACTTGAGAGAGAATGACGCCAGATCAGCAGCTAGCTAGCTCAGCGGCTGTGTCTTGCAGGATTTGGCATCCCTGGCATTGATTGCGTATGAGGTGCTGGGTCACCGCGCTTGTCATGTGCCAGGGTTTCTCAGCTCAGCCTCTGTGCAGGTCGATTGCAATGCAGTGCCCCGGTTGCTGGAGGCTTGTTTCGTGAACTCGTGAACGCAACATGCATGCAGATCAGCCGGTGATCGATCCTGCTCATGTTTATGGCACACTCCCCGGCCGCCCGGGTCAGGAAAGCTTCGGCAGCGGGATGCACGCGCCGAGGCAGGCTTCACGTGGCCCCACTTTGAAGAGTCGGGAGCGCAGTGGAGCACGGAGATTCTTCGCAGGTTAGAGTCCTGCCGCAGCTACGACGAGCTGCCACGTTGGATTTCCGTGCGCTTCCCTGCGCGCCGTCCGGGTGGAGGTTGGCTTCGCTTGGTCGGAGGATGCAACTGCAACGATTCACGTGCAAATCTCTTGTCTTTCTGCTCTTGACTCCTAAAACGACGACGTTTCAACGGGACGCCAGAGGTCTGTCACTTTTCTGGATACAGCATTTTAAACACTTTAGGCCGCACAAAGCACGACCTCTGAAGCGTGTACTCCTTGGTCAGGTGACACGCGAGTCTTTGCCATTAAGGGCACGTGCCTGGACAGCAGCGATGGCTTCGGGGTAGGCGGCACATGTTGGCACCAGGCCAGGTGTGAGGAACAAGAGTTAGTTCCGTGCCAAGCTTGTCTAAGGTCTTCCTGGAGAGATGTCTATGCTGATATCAAGCTCTTCGCGACGATTGAGGCCGTGCGGGCAGGTTGTCCTCGCATCAGTGTTGGAAATGAGAAGTAAAAAGCAACTTTGAGGCTTTCAATGTGGATTTGACAGGTGCTCCAAGCGCTCTCAAAGATTGTGCCAATCCTGTCTCTGCTCCCCGTGCCATTGGTGCAAAGCATCGTTGGGCACACCGGCCGCTTGGATCTCCAGTAAGAACTTTGGGCGGCCCCTGCAAGGGAAGCAGTCGAACTGCACCTGAGCTTTCTGAAGTGGATAGCAATGTACCTTGGTGTGCCTGATGTGACGCATGTCTCAGGCCTGGCAGATACTTACATGTGGGACGGTCTCGAGCGTGCCATTGACAAGGACCACAGGAAAAGTGATGTCTCAGTGATGGCCTGAGCCTGGATGAGCTGAAAAGCATTCTAGCTGGGAGTGCTCACCGTTCTTTGATGTTGAGGTGCTAACAGGACACTCCTTGGGCGGCTGCATTGCTCAGATTGTGGCGGGAAGGCGTTTGGGCTTACGGCATGTAGCTGCGGATGATTGTCCGATCATCCGGCATGCGCTACTTGCGGCGTTCAATGCATTCAATATCCGGACTCAAGCAACTTTTGCGAGTTCAGGCGGCAACTGTCGGCCCTTGTGTTCTCTTCACCAGGCAGACCCCGCACAGCCTTGGGCTCGATCTGCTTTTTCCCGTGGGAAGGTTGGGAGACTTGGGAGAGCTTTTGGACCTGGGGGGCTCTGAAGCTCTTGGCCTAGTTAGGAGCGTACGCAGTTGCTAGTTGCTAGTCTTTTTTTGCTTCAACGCTGGTGGAGAGAGCATCGTGCGCAGGTTTGTTGTACTCGGCCCGGCGCTTCGACGTCTCGCCGGAGAGTCGCAGCAGCAGCACGTAAAAGTCTGGGAGCCGGCATCGTCTGCTGTGAACAGAGGCATTCGTCATGTGGTGGCGGTGGTTCCCGACGGCGATGTAATCTCCAGCGTCGACGAACATGCAGGCATCCTTGTGGACATGCAGTGCTAGCGGATAGCGTTTGTTGATGCAGCAGCGTGCGCCATGTATGTAGTATTGACAGCGTTGCATCGGCAAGTCGACCCCCTCTTCTATCCTAAAACCCAGCATTGAATCCACAGCACATCTGCTTGATAACATCGATGCTCCAACAAACTTAGTCTGATACTCTGTGGGTGTGTTGTTGGTACCGGTGCTCAAGTCAAAGATGTCTCCAATGGTTTGGAGCCCAGCACAGCAAGACACCATCGGCAGAAGTGGTAACGAAGACACAGCAGTGAAAACAGTTCCTCCTCCGACATGATGATGATAATGATGACGAGCTGATGATTATGACTAGAGCTACTGTAGCTGACATGACGATCAGGATGAAAATCGCGTTGTCAGCACGCTTCGGGTGATTGTCACAACTGTCTGTGTCTGGATTCGTTCTCATTACTCACTGTCATCCTCAGTCTTGTGTTCTACCCGGGCTTGATACAAGTATAGGTGCGACTTATTCATGAGCATAAGACAGAAGCCACCTTGCAGGTGTCGTGCAACGCATTGCATGCCGGACTCTCACCGGCCAGGCCCCGACGCTCACTCTGTTATCAGGGTAATACGGTCGCATCCTGCGGGGCGTCATTTGCGCAAATTCCTCCCCGCTGAGGAGATTTAGTAAGGTTTCGGTTGTGGCAATAAATGACAGTAACAGCAACGATAGTCCAAAAGATTGAAATATGGTTCGCTCCGAATCTTGCTCATTGTCAATTGTTGTTTAGCTGTCAGTAGTGCCGGTACTTGCAAGCTTGCTTCGCTTGTTTTTTGTCTCCTGCAAGCCCTTCAATGCACCTGCAAGCCTTATGATAAGTCCTCGAGCTTACACGAGCACTGGCACAAGCACCAGCAGCAGTTGTAGCAAAGGAAGAATAAGAACAAGCAGTACTAGCAGCAGCAGCAGCAGCAGCAGCGGCAGCAGCAGCAGCAGCAGCAGCAGGAGGAGGAGGAGGAGGAGGAGGAGTAGTAGTAGTAGGAGGAGTAGTCAGAGAAGTAGGAGTAGTAAGGAGTAGTAGGACCAGTAGGAGTAGTAGGATTCGTAGGAGTAGTAGGAGTAGTCGGAGGAGTAAGAGTAATTAGTAGGAGTAGTATGACTGGTAAGAGTTGTAGGAGGTGTTGTATGCAGAGGATGGTGGATGAGGCGTAAAGCGGGCTGCAGGATTTGGTATTCTGGTGCTGCAAGCGATAGCAGCAACAACACTGCAGGTCGCAGTGACAATCAGAACAAAGAAAGGCTGGCTCCACTGCCGCTTGCCACGGGCTGCGAAAGACTGCCTGCGAGGCCTTGCAAACTCCTGACATCCTAGGTCCTAACCAGCAAGTCAATTTTCATGCTATGACAATCGGAGCTGGTGCAGGTTTGGCGCGCCTGCAGGGAGCCCAGTGAGTAGATCGCTGTGTGAGAGATCTTGTAGTTCACAGCGTGCATGTGCAGGCGGGGACGTTCGTGGACGCGACTTCTCCGACACTTGTGTGGCCTACGTCTTGCCGGATTGGGATTGTAGTCGGATATCCTAGAAGTTTCTGCATTCCCGAGTGGATGTGAGAGGACATGCTGGGGCACACCCTTCCTGAAGAGCCGTGGGGTCAGGCCGGGGGTGCAAAACGCCTCGCATAGCCGGAGCATGTGGCTCTGAGAAGTTCTCGGCTGGGTGCACCCGTGCTCCCCTTCGGCCCTGCAAGTCGCCGTCTCGGGACGGCTGGGCTGACCCTGCCGGCTTGACGACTTGACGAAGCATCCGAAGGAGAGACGTCTGCGCTTTTTCGTGTAGACCGAGGAGGTGAGGCGAACACGATTCTTCGTTATGATTCCTTCGCCGTAGGAGGAGATCTGAAGGGGCGATCTGGCCACTGCGCGGCAGCCCCGGCCTCGATCGCGGCCACCGACTGGAGCAACAGGAAATCGGCTCCCGAACGCTGAACGGGTACATGGCGACGGGCGCTTGAGGCAGTATGGCAGTTGTAGGTCAGGCGAGGTCCCGAAGCAGCATTTCAGCGTCGCACAGCAGCAGAGCTGCTTTCGTGGCATTCCCAAAGTAGGGATGTGTTTGACTCCTCCTGGAGTGATCCGATCTTTCAGCGAGGCTCCAAAGCTGAGCACTCCAATCCCTCAGCATCAGAAAAGCCAGGGCCGTTTATATCGTTGACAAGCCCCAGTGTGTACCGAGCAGCTGTTTGAGTTCCCTGCAGGTGCATCCATCGTGCAGATCTTGCTTGCTGCACAAGCTTCTGTTGGAGTCTTGGCTCTTGCAGTGCTGTGTGGCATGAGAAGTAGCAGTCGATGCCAAGCTCTGTAGCAGCAGTAGAGGTGGATGCTTCTGGGCGGGATGGCGAAACCCCTGTGCTCATCCCAGGATATAAGTTTGGCTTGGTTTGGGCATCGTGAAGCCTGGCTTTCTGCAGGTGCAGTTGGCCAGCCTCCTGGGTGCTCTGCTCGCAAAGTGCGTTCTGCATTCTGCTGTCTCTAGGCTACGGAATTCAAGTCAGACCAACGCAAGAGCTACTGTAGCCATGCAATGCCACGCAAGGGTTCGTGATGCAAGCAACGGACATGTAGGATTCTGCTGGTTGCTGACCTTGATATCCATTCCGGAGGGTGCAAAGTAAAATCGAATGCTGCCCAGGGCATCCCAACATAGTGGAGGCGCTCCTTGAGGCGGGTCCGGAACATCCTCAGTAGGGATGGTTCGTACCTTGTCGGACCACGCCCAAGGGTGGAGTCTAAAGACCCCCTGCATTTGAGACCAGATGCTCTGACACTACAGCCCTGGCGCTCGTTTTGAGCCGAGTCCTGGGAAGGCGCGCGCTTCACCGGACATTGCGGCACACGATGGCAAGCGCGCCCAGGACCTCAGCACGGGACTGCAAATGGTTGGTCGAGCGTTGCGTGGCCTGTGACGACCGGTGAGTTCTGATTTCTTCAACCTGTGGATGCGCCGCCACAGAGTCTATCAAGAGCTGCATAGTCGGTTGTCCGAGGGGAAGGGCCAGCGAAATCACTTGTATGATGCTCTAGTTTTTTTGAGCTGAGATGACCCGGGAGCTAGCTGCATGCGGGCCGTGCCTGTATCCACAACTCACTGCACGTCTTTCTGGGAACTTGCAGGGGGTCGTTTGTACAGCTTGTGTATGTGAAGCCATGGACTGGTCTTTAGCTCCGCACAGCCTGGAATTCGATGGTGATGGGACGCTGCTGTCCATGTACGTCTGACTCTCAAGAGATGCACTGCCGCGATGTCGCGATTGCAGACAGCGCATGCCGACTATGTCGCAAGGCATCTTAACATGGCGCATGCAGCATCACACAGCTGTGTACTGGTTCCGTATCTTACAAGCGATGCAGCCCACGGCTACAGAGGACGATGTCGGGTGACTAGTGTAGCGGTGACGACTCAGCTTGAAGTTCGTCCCTTGTCCGAGGTGGTGACCTACTCCAAGGCACTGCCCTACAGCATCTTCTTCGTCATAGCTTGGGACACTTGCCGGCAGAGGGCAAATGATTATAAGGTGGTTCACTTCCTGTGCACGGTAAACTTTGAAGTTGTGCCCCTGCAGACGGCAGGGTCCTAGGTCCGAGCTGCTCGAATCACGTACGTGCAACTGCAAAACTTGGGACCAGGCACAAGCAGTTTGAACCAGCATGCCAAGCCGCTTAGCCACTAAGCTTTCGCCGAGGGTGCCTACGACGTGCTGCTCAGACTAGCAGGATTTGGAGACCAGATTCGCGCAGTCCGCCGCGGAACTTGGGCGCTGAAACTGCTACTAAGATGCACATTTGGAAGGCAACCGGTAATTAATCACGTTCTGTCCCACACCTTTTTGGACCCATGCAATCTCCACAAGAGGGCATGCCACCTACCTTTAATGTCTGCAGTGTGCTCAAAGACAATCCGAAGCATGCATAACATTCCAACCTTCCGAAGGAACAGCTTGTACCAAGGATGAATCTTACCCACCATGCCACTCGGCTTGCCAATGTCATGACCTTTCAAGGGCGCGCAGGGCTGCTCTGTCGTTGCTCTTGTGCTCGAGGAGCATTGATAGCACATCTGTTCTTTGTCTCTTTGCTGCCTGTTGCCATTGCTGCATGCGTGGATCGTAGCCTGTGTGCCAGGGGCTCATAACGCCTTTGGCATTGCTGAGTATGTGGCAAGATCCAGTCATTCGGCAGCTCCGCGATTGCAGAGAGATGTGTGAGTTAATTTCCAGACACGTCATCTTCGGCTGCAAAGATCTGCAAAGGAAGAGCGTGCACGCAGCTCAAAAAAACAAGCCACGGTTGTGTACTTGCTGCGTTCGAACTCCGAGGCTGTACGCTTGCTTCGGCTGCAATGAGGCTTGCATTGGCTTGTGTGTAGGTGTTCAGGTGTTCACATGCACATCTGTATATGAATATCTCGGAGGGAGCACAGGTCGTGGGGTGTAACTCTCCTTTGCAGTACTAGCAGAAAGTCTGCTTACTAGTGACTGAGCTGTAGATTGGCCCCTGGATCTCATAAGTCTCGTGACTTTGGGTAGTTTCAACCCTAAACACTAAACCCCTAAGAGGATGGTCGCAATAGCCAGGACGGAGACAGATCTTTGGGGTACCCTCTACCCTAAACCCTCGCGACCGTAACCCCCTAAAGCTCAAAACGCGGATCGGAAGAAAGTCATTCAACAAAAAGTCTAAGTGTTTGTATGCTGTAGGGCCTTTTCGGGTTTAGGGTTTGTAAGGCATTTCTGTCTGGAAGGCTGCAGCTCTGATGAACCGTGCAGCTGCCGCGCCTTTGGCCGTCCCCCGGTTGTTCGTTTGTTTTTGGGGTTTAGAGTTCAGGGTTGTGGAGTTAGGGCTAGGGCTTAGGGGTTCAGGCTTTTTGCCGGTCCAGGGCCTGTAGTGCATTGCAGTCCCCCTGCTCAGAAAGGGTTTGAAGCAAGAAGTGCTGAAATGGCCTTGGGTGCACCTTTGAAAGCTCTTGCATTGCACATCGTTGTTTTGTGGCATCTTCCGATCGTTGTCGGCAGCAATTGGAGGAATCCGAAGTTTAAGGATCGTGTCCGTTTTCATTGTTGGAGTATTGGATTCATTGGGTAGCAGCAGACTGGAAGACCTTGCATGTCGGTCGTGCTCATTGGGCTGAGGCGAGGGCGCTGACCCCTGTGACGAGCCTGGGCTGGTAATAGCGCTCCCGCCGTTCTGTCGTGGTTAATGTAGCTTCAGCTTCTGACATACTAGTAACAGTCCGAGCTCCTATGCAAACCCAATAATTCAATGTTCTGGCTGCCTTATGGCTGTTTGCCGGCAACAAGTTTGCAGCTGCAGCACATCGCAGAACGATGACTGCAATTGCAACATCAACAAGGACTTTAAGCTTAAGGTCTGTGCTCCATTTCTCAGCTAGAGCCACGCTGGATCAGCTGAGGATCGGGTACTTCACAGCAGATTTGCTGTTGCTAAGCCAGCCAGGGGCTCAGTGGCGGTAAGACGGCCTTCCTCTGTCAGAATGCCCGACGCTGTGTCCAACTTCATCGTCCATTTGTAGAGTTCCAGGTGGCAGCTCACCCAGAGCTCCAAAGTTGAGCGGTACCTGATGCTGGTGCACCATGCTCAAGCCCCGGAGTCAGAGTCAGAGCAGGTCTCCCAGAGTCGTTTCACGAATGCTTCGCGTTTCGTGCAACCGAGGTCGCCTCAATGGCGGTGTGGCCGGCAGCCGTGTACTTTGACTGGGTTGCAAGATATGCCCGTGGCCTCAGTTTGTTCTGACTCGGATATCCCCTCTGAAGTCTCGCACTCTTCACTGCTAAGATGCTACAAGGCTGACTCATGTGATGTCAGACAGGAATGAGCTTGAAGGGCACATGCAAAGTCGAAGCTCACAGTGCGATGCGACGTATACATGGCTGATCTCATCGGGGTGTGAACTACGTAGCGTGTTTCGCACTCAGGGGAGCTTGCAGATCATGAGGTGTTGATCATGCTATCCTACGAGAGCACGAGCCTGCTGCTCACGCTCCTCTGGATCATTTCTGCTGCTGGGTATAAGCAGTGCCTCCTCCGCAACAAAAAGTTTGGCAGAGTTACTTGCAGGGGCAGGCCGGCCGGAGAAATGCCCAAAAAGGCACAGCACTCCTTGGCCCTCCATGGGTTGCAAGCCGTCCGCGACAGGAAACAAGAAGCCGCCTAGTCGTCCTTTGTAGGACGGGCCTGGCCGGGATTGGAGCCGAGGCTTCCAGGGGCCTCCGTCCCCACCCTCTGTGCCCACACGTGCTCATGTGAAGCCTCTAGGCCTCGAGATCCCTGACCCTGTCGCCTCATCCAGGAAGCCTTGCTGCTTGCTCTTCTGACCCCAGAACAAGTTCCTGGGCCATCGTCACATCCCCCCAGCCTTAATGCATGTAGGATTTGGGGGGGGGGGGGGGGGGGGGGCAAATGTAGAGCGGATCTTTACATGTTGGCTTTCCTGCAAGGCCTTGAATTGGAAGGGGGGGAGGGTGGGGGGGTTTGGATGCACGCATACTGATGCGCATACACCGTCCTGTCACCCCTGGAACCCTAAACTAGGCCCTGAACCCCTGAACCCAGAAACTCCCCAAACCTCAAACCTCTCAAACCCTGAACCCGTAGACCCGCAAAGCCGAAACACGCGTCCGTGGTCTAAGTCTAGGGCCCAACGTAAAGCCCACATTCCTAGACCCGCCTCCCTCGAAAAGCTGAGGATTTTTGTTTTATGACATCAGTTTTGTGCCAAAAC